CCTCTTGGTATTCAGACTCTTGAACAAGCCCTTCCCTTTGAGAGCTGGACCTAATGGGCTGGACCCAGTCAAGGATTTCTAACAAATAGCATATGGCAAAAGTGATGGATGAGTCTAAGATTAGGTTATATAAGACTGACTTCCAATTTGCTTATGCTCTCTCTCTCTCTCTCTCTCTCTGGCTTTTCTCACTGACTTGTTCTGATGGAGCCAGCTGCCATGTTGTGAGCTGCTCTATAGAGCGGCCCACATGGCAGGAACTAAGTGTAGCCTCTGGCTAACTGCCTGGAAGGAACTGAATCATGCCGATGGCCATGCGAGTGAACGTGGAAGTGAACCATGCCCTCCTGGTGCAGCCCTGGCCTTGCAGCTAAGCCAGTCTCAGATTCCTGACCCACAGAAATGACAAGATAATAAATGTGTATTGTTTTAAGTTTTAAGTTTTGAGGTATTTTGCTTTGCAGCAATAGATAGCTTATACAATCACAGATTGAAAGGCCAGAGTAGGTCGTTTATAATAACCTCATCAGGTAATTTGTGGGGGAGAAATTTGAACTTTTCCTTGGTGAGAAAAGAAAATAATCATTCTGTTGATGTGCAATATGCTTAGTGAGCCCAATGATGATCCCTGTATGATGTGCTCAACAGGATGAGAGACTTGGGGTGAATAACCTTCCCTTTCTAGGCAAGTATGAGAACATAGGGGCATGCCTGGCCTTGAGTCACAGGGCATAATCAATGTGATATGACCCAAAATTGCCATCAACAAATTAGTTTTCCATAATCTGTATTCACTTGTAAGTATGAATCAAAATACACATTGTTTTGTAGATTTTTAAAGAATATAAGTGGTATCATATATATATTTTTTAATTTAAGAATATTTTTTAGAGAACTTTCCAGATATGTCAACAGAATTCTTTCTGACTGCTGCACCGTGTTCTGTAGCGTGGACATATCAAAGTTTATTTAACCATTTCCTTAATACTATCAATATAAGTGGTTTACAATTTTTTTACTATTTTGAGCAATGCTAGAGTCAACATGCTTGTGTTCTTGTACACATCTCTTTATACACATGCAGAATTATTTCTACAGGTTAGTTACCTAGAAATAGAATAACTGCATCAAAGGGCATAGGCATTTTGAAGTTTTATGCATCCTAAATTGTACCCCAAAAAAAGGCTCTATCAGTCTAAACACAGCATATTGAACACATGTGTTTATGATACCTCCTTCTCTCCAAAACTCCTGCCAAAAAGACAGTTATGTGAATAAAACAGATATAAATTAGAGGTATGAAGAGGAGTGAAGGAAACAGAGGACACTAATAGTAGATGCAAGAGTAGTCAACAACGTAAATGTGGTGAAAGGGAAGTGACATCAATATCATAGCAGTGTAACATATCCCTACTTTTTGTGCCCCTTGTTTTTAACAGCTAATTAAGCATCAATCCACAAACAAAAGTGTCTCTGTGGGAGTCTTGTGATCCAACAACATAGCCCAAGAAACCCAGGAGGAGTCTCGCCCATCTGATCATCCCATAATAGACCACAGACAGACTTCAGTTTGGGCTGTGGAACTAGCAACCCCAACCCAATCCTTCCCAGCTGTGTTTGGGGAAAATTTTGAAAAGTGCTGACTTGGATGAAACAATTCCAGAACATCGCTTAAGTAAACAAACAAACAAACAAACAAACAATAAACGGGTTTGAAGGAAATTTTCCGGCATTGCCCCTCCCCTCCAAGTTGACAGCACAGAATTGAACTATCCACTGGCACCACTCTGTGGGGGGAAGTGAGAGCTGTGTGTGAGTGCCTGGTTACCCCAGCTACGCTGGATGCAGCAGGGAAAAACCCATTTCCTTCCAGGAACATCCAGAGTCTAAAGTGGGACCCCCATGACTGAGGGGAGGGAAGAAATTGGGAAAGAGACAGATAAGACTATCAAAGGGCATTAAAGAGACATGGTTCATGCTGACTGCACTCAGGATGTCTGGAGAAAGTCCACCCACAATCCACTGGGAGAACCTCAGCCAAGGATCTCTCCACCAGCTGACAGACACCCCTCATGCCCCAAGTGCTAAACCTACACTTTCCCTTGCTCTAAGGTGGCTCCTTACTCAGGCTCCAAGATTGGCAGCAAAAGAAAGCTGGGTAAACTAGAGTGCTATCAGAAAAATAGACTAGGATCTGTGGGCAAGAGAGAAACCACAAACTTGAGCTGTAGCACCACCTTCTGGAAAACAAAAGGGAGGTTTCTAGTAGCCAGCCAGGTGAGCTGTAAGAAGATCCAGAAAAGACATAAAAGCTTTAAAAATGTTGCCACAAGAGGGAGTAAGAAGTGTGGAGCAGGTGTATAAATGCAAGTCCAGATAAAACAGGATCAATGAACAATATACTCCATCTGAAGTCAACTAGTGAAGATTTGAGGAAGTGTCTTTTACTTTAAAGACAAAGCAGCAACACAAAGCTATAAGGAACATGAAGAATCAAGAAACTTACCACCACCAAAAGATAATAATCCTTCAATAAAGATTTAAAAGACATGAAATCTTATGATCTAGCAGGTAAAGAATTCAAAATAACAACGAGCTATAAAGAAACACAGATGAAAATTCGATGAAATCAGGGAAAAAATACATGAACAAAATGAAAAATTTAGCAATGAGATAGAAACCTTAAAAAAGAACCAGACAAAATTCTGGAGCTGAAGAATTCAATGATTGAAATGAAAAATGCAATAGAGAGAATCTGCAGCAGAGTAGATCAAATGGAAGACAAAAATAAGTGACCTAGAAGCAGTTGTTTTCAAATAACCCAATCAAAGGCAAACAGAGGAAAAAAAAATGACAGAGTGAAGAAAGCCTATGTGACCTGACCATTCAGTCAGATGTACAAATATTAGCATAATCAGAGTTCCAGAAGGAGAAGAGAGGAGGAAGAGGCCAGAAAGATTATTTTTAAAATAATAGCTGAGGGCTGCCTGGGTGGCTCAGTCGGTTGGGTGTCCAATTCAAGTTTGGCTCACCTCATGATCCCAGGGTCATGGGATCAAGCCCCACATTAGGCTCCATGCCGAGCATGCAGTCTGCTTGGTAGTTCCTCTCTCTTTCCCTCTCTCTCTCTCTCTGTCCCTCCCCCCTGCTCATGTGTGCTCTCTCTCTCTCTGTATAAATTAAAAAAAAAAAAAAAAATAGCTGAGAACTTCCAAAAACCGAGAAGAGGCTTTGGCATCCAAGTTCATGAAGCTATTAGATCACCCTATTATCTTAAAGCAAAAACACCTCCAAGACACATTATAATGAAATTAAGAAAAAGAATCTTAAGCACATCTAGAGTAAAAAAGAGTGTAACTTATAAAGGAACACCCATTAGGCTATCAGTGGATTTCTCAGCAGAAACTCCACAGGCCAGGGGAGAGTAGAATGACATACTTAAAGTGTTGAAAGAAAAAATTGCCAGCCAAGAATACTCTATATGGCAAAGTTATCCTTCAGATATGAAGGAGAAATAAAGACTT